TGTGTACAGCTGATGTCTTATATATAGTCCAGTCAATTTATTGCTCTTGAAACCCRCCACTAGTTGTGATAGAAGGTTCTTCAATGTGATTTGCCTATTAAGGAAATACATAGYCCTTAAGTTATCACTCTGGATCTTTGGAAATTGTAATAAATGAACTTGATGTTATTTTGAGTGGTATACACCCTTTTACATRTAAGAAGTCCTGAGGTATTGTGTTCTCTGCACTTGATGTCAAATTTATTACTCGGGTTTCCAAAGGAATCCTGAGTTTTTAAATTTCGGCTGTCTTTTTTCGTTATGCTCGTTCGGTCACAAATTGTCYTCGGCCAAACTAGAAGGCACTGGTTTACAAATGTCATATTAAACCTATCACATGACATTTCACAACTTCCATGTGCTATCTTTTTGGTGGCAAGTATGATAACGCAAGATGAAAGACATGGATTTTAACTTCAAATACGCTCAAATCACTAACAAAACCAAAACACCATTCGCGGTATAGTCACACTAAAAAATTTCGAGGGTTTTTCGAAAGGGCATTTGGAGAGACACCATGAATTTATTGTGAAACCTCAATATTGTGAAATTTATCATATTGTGTATTGTTCAAGTCTGTTGAGAATTGTTTATCAAAAAAGCTAGCTATCTTATCAAAAGCGAACTATATGCTAGCATATACAGGCTCTGAAACTACAAAGAACTTATCTAAGGATACGAGCAGAATTCTACTGAGGACTAACCGRCGATTGGAAGTATTTTATTTAGCGGAGAAGACTCTGTGGTCATAACCTGCCATTCAACTGCTATCCCCTGCTATCAAAGTGAGGACGCGGCTTGCAGCCAAAGATTTAAATAATTATACAAACTGAAAAGATGTCATTGTGATTAGTAAATAATGGCAAATTAATTCAATAATATTTATACAAAAGATAAACTTCACAAGTAAAGGGTGATATTTATTGTTACTATGCAATGCCTACTATGCAAAGTTTCTCTTAGCCGTATTATGATGCACTGYGATGCATTCGCAAGTGTAAGTGAGCCTTACCAAAGAAACTACRAAAGTATACAAACTTTTTATTKCACGACGAGTTCACGCGTCTAGTTCCTTTGTATAATGTAAAAATTTCAAAAGAATAAATTTGAYGTCAAGTGCACAATTCCTCGGGACTTATTAAAAGGGTGCATAGCTAGAATATTTTTCCTCAGACCTCACTTTCAGGGCACAGCTTAATTTCAGTGTACATCAACATTAAATATCCTTATTTTGAATTCAACACTGCTTACCAAAACATGTTTTTCTTTAGAACTTTTGATATAGTATAAGAAAGTGTTCTGTTGGAAGTGACAGGTTGACCATTCATATATTGAATTCTAAAGCTTTACCATCAATCAGCTGTTTTTGCCCAACATAGGGATTGTTAGATTGAAAAGACAAAATGCTAACTAGTCCCTAAATAAAAATTTAATTATTCGGAAATGAAGGGCTATTCTCAAGCAAATTATTCAATTCTTAATTTTTGATTTTTAGCAGAAATATGGTTCTCCATCTGGATCAGAGGAATTCTCAGCTCATCCAAACAAAAAACGTAAAGGAAATGATGGTGAATCTAAGCCAGTCATGATTCCAAGAGAGGAGGTCAGTACCTTAAAGTTGGTTTTTAATATGTTACTATTGTAAAGCTTTAACGCTATAGTGTGCAAATCAACAGAAAATAGAAAATCCTTTTTTAATAATAATTATTGTCCTTAATTATTGGAAACAAACCTGGGGSTGTTCGTACAAAGGTTAGATTGAGAAATTGAATGTAAAAGATTTAATTATAATTTATGATATTGTGTAATGAGGTCACAAGAAGTTTTTCTTTACCTTACAGGTGATCAGAAGACTTAGAGAGCGAGGAGAACCAATCAGGCTGTTTGGAGAAACAGATGAAGAGGCATATCAAAGACAAAGGTTTTCTCTTCTCTTAAATTTTTTTTCCCTAACCCTAACCCTAACCCTAGTTGTATTTGCACGCTTTGATTGGCTAGCGCTATCCTGTAGCAAAGCTGCGAGCAAAGTTGCATAAAATACAAATTAAAAAAATGTTATTTACCGGCTATAGGTCGGTCCATATAGGAACACTGCCCTCGGTCTTTTATTACGGACCTCGCTGCACTCGTTCTGTACTGTCAAGACTTTGGGCAGTGTTTTCCTATATGACCTCCCAGCCGGTAAATAACATATATACATGTATTTATTTTTTTGCTAGTATATAATAATGATTGGTTATGCAATGTGCTTTATTTCCCATTTGTTGATACCAGTTTTGTGAGGTCAATACTTGGCCATATTGCATGATTGTGATAATTCAGTGTTTACAGCCTTTTGCAAAAATTATGAGAATTGTCTAAATATCTAAATATCATAATATCTATATCCATATATTGTACGGAACACGCGAGTTTGCTAGAATAATTCATTGTTTATCGAGAAATTGTTCAGAACTACGGATAAGTCCGTCGTCAAAAAAAAAACCTAAACTACAAAGACAAGGGACTAAGGGCATCGCGCAGGATTACCCATCATGTACTTGATATTATGATATTTAGATATTTCGACAATTCTCATAATTTTTGCAAAAGGCTGTACCATTCAGAGTATTATAATGAAGAAATATTGTTCCTATTATTTATAATAATATTGTAATATGTTATTTTAATTGGTAGGCGTATTGAAATGATGGCTCCAGAAATCAATAGGGTAATAARTACATTTGAAACAAGTGTTTGTAATTCTTTACTGGCAGTGATTTGATACTGTTTGTTGTTTAGTACCTCCCTCAGCCTTTAGACTGAGGTTACAATCACTTAATCTCCCAATCACTTGCTAATGTCATTATATCCATTGTTGTACTGCTGGGAACAGTGTGATATCATAGTGATTTGCAAAAATTCTGAAAATGCCAGCAGTGGAATCAGTTAAAGAAAATGTATACATATGCATGCATACATGCATGCATGCATACAGGGTGCATGCCTCTATCCTTTAATATAAACATGGTGGCATTTGAAAAACACAAGAGAAACAAGCTTGTTTCTCTTGCTTCTTGAGTGCTTTTCAACTTCCACTGTGCTTATATCAGTTGTTTTTTTGAGCGAAAAACAAATTTTGCAAAATGCTGTTATCAATTRTTAATAATAATATTTTATATTTAAACATATTATAATTAAACATATTTTGATTATTGATTAATATTTAATAGTGTTTTGTTTTTTCTTAAGGGATTCAGGAATGATTTTAAAGCGGCTATGGAAAGAATTGATCAAGAGTATTTAGCTGAGCTTACCAAACAGGTAATTGATAGTTTTATTGAACCACACKAATCATCATGATTTATATTCATAAGTATTACACTGTTATTGATGCACTCAAACTAACCCTTTTTTACAAAACAAGTCCTTTTTCCCTATTTTAAAATCATTGCCATGTCATCAGTAACAAAAACTATGCAACAATGACTGTGTGATTTTTTCATCCTATTATGTATTTGGATGATCATGTATAACATATCTCTGCTCACCCATGTATTTATTCTCTACATATGTAATGGAAATTGACTCTGACAATGTTATATTTAAAATAGCAWATTATCAGGTCCTTGTAGTTATCCAGCATGYAGAATTGACTGGTTTATTATCTTCAATAGGGAGATACTGAAGCAATGGTGAAGGCTGGCAGCTCTGGGGTCCAGTCCTCTGTTCCAACAGTAACACTAGATGATATACAGGTTTGTCTGATGTGTGAACAATGAAAATAAAATCAGTCAGTTATCTTACTGAGTGTACTCTTCGAAGTCTTTCTTGATGTGATAAGGGAYGGACCATTTGATTTTTGATGAATTTCAGGTTAAGAAAGATGCTGAATTTTTCTTTCGTCATWCTCACCTTAGACCTCATTTTGCTATTAATCCTTCTGACCGTGAACGTGATGTACTTCTCAGTGTCTTTAAAAAGCCTGGTTCTAACTAGGTCTCTCCTGAAGGCAAGTTGGCTKAGACTCTTGATCTTTTCATCAATAAGTGTCGCCGTGATATCTCTAACGTCAACTTTAAACATAAGCCCAGCTTTACAATCTTTCTTAGGATGAGTGGACATCTCTATGCCGTTTATGTAACCTTTCTGACATTAAGCCAGCTGATAAAGGTGTTGTTGTTGTTACATGTATTTGACGTACTGAACTGTACAAGCAGGAGGCTCTCCGCCAGCCTTCTGATGTGCATTTTTACTGTAAGGTTGATAATGATCTTACCCTTGACAATCAAAAGACAGTTAAGGACACTGTCAACTCTTTCACCTCAGACGGCTCTCTRCTTCCTACTGCAGCTGTTAACTTACTTGTAACTATGGTAACTATGGTTTAGTTTCTTATAGATCTTTCCTCAATTGTGCAAATTATTACTAGCTTACTTTGGACTGATCTGATATGAATCTCTCTTCTGTTGTTGTCTTGGATTAAGGTGTTGAATGTTATGTCATGGATTGATAACTAATCTTGACTTCATATTTGTTCTGGATGGTTAGGTCTGCTTTTCATGTGCAGGTTGTATGCTGTTATTGCTTGTTGTACTGGACTGGCTTACTTTACACAATCAGAGAACAATATTGTCATGTTTAATTAATCTGTTGCAGCCAAAATAGCGGAGTAATCTAAATCTAATTTAATCTAATTTTAATTTTATGTAGGAACTGGCAAAAGGAATGGGAAAAGGAGATGACAAACTGGACCAAGAGGTGACACTCAAGTTTGTTGAGGTCAGTGTACATTGCATCTTTTAATCATTGCCTTTATTAAGATACATGGCACGTGCAGCTTTTGATCAAAGATGTCTTTGATTGGTCTGTTTATGTGTTGTCAGTAAGAGCATTTTTGGTTGAAYAGGTTAAGGAAGGAATGGATGGAAATAAGTAGAAAAATCAGCAAATTCAATGAGAAATGAGAACAAAACATGAAGGATATAACGAATGTAGATTAGAAATAAATATCTCATTTTTTATGATATCTGCTTTTAAGCAAAATACAATAATTTATGAGATATTTTCAGGTTGACATYGTTGTCTTTGCATTTTCAATCTTCGATGGCAGTGCAAACTAAAAAGATGGAAATTCTAATTCTCATTATTTTTTATTCACAAAATTAAATAACCTTTTAGTAGCATGTCCATTTTTTAAAAAAAAAATGATCCTTAGCTAACATTTTATTAATAACACTTAATTTTGTTTTCTTTATCATTGTGTAGTTTTTGCTTCATTTGTGGGAACAAGATCTAAACACTAAACCAGATGAAACCAAAAGGACATTAGAGGTACACAATGAATTGAGTCGATTATTAATATGTGATACCTATTCCTGTTGTAAAGGGGTGCTCTCAGTGCATAGATCCCACTGACGTTTGCATGCTCTCGAAAATTTTGTTGTTTATGCATTCAAATTGACAGTTAATATCTGAAACTCAAATRGTCATAAATGATTTAAAAACACTTTGTTTTGTCATTTGCTAAACTTTGTTGAAAGCTGAGTTGGGGTTGGGGGTGTTGGGGGGACATTCACTGACCCAAATATATTCTAAAAACACTAACAATAATTTTTTGTGAACTTTTCAGGATCGAGATTCCCAATATTGTGGCTTGTGTCAAAAAAAAAAAAAATGCAATAAAAATTACGTAGTGCTGCGGTTTTATTTGAAATTAGATGATGAATTTTAAGTAAGAAAAAGAGGGAAGGAAAATCCCCCCTTTCCCCCTCCCCTGAATCCACCCCCTGTAAATGGTTAGTGGACAAGCTCTTTTAACAATTTGCTTCAGCATTTGCTAAATTTTGTAGAACTCAGCAATAATGTTGAATTGTGTTGAAATACCCTCACAAACCAATTGTTAATTAAAAGCTTTTTGCAATGGACTAGACTGCCTATCACCTTTAACCACTGATCTTTTATTTATAGGCCAAGATTGCCAGTGCCACACATAGACAGACACAAGCCTACCTTAACCCACTCATAAGAAAACTAAGAACCAAGGTATATGGATGTCACATGATAATAATTGTTGATCGATCAACTGTTATTACAGGTTTAAAAAAAAGGTTTGTGTGATCTAATCATAGCATTGGATAGTGCTAACCAAATTTTGATMTAAAAGAAATTGCTGTAAATTTAGTATGTTTTTTAGATAAAAACTGGACAATCTTTTACTAATGTTAAGAATCACACTATACAAAGCACGCTCATCTTCTTGTCTTTTTAACTGAGTTGCATTGGTCAATGATGAGATATAAAACCTTAGACCTTTGTTTAGCTCATTTATATAAGACTGAAAAAGGTACACCCTAATGAGAAGACTACAAATAGGCCAATTAACCTTTAATAGCTCATTAATTTAATATATTTTTTGCTTTAGAACACCCCTGTAGATATAAAAGAAGCACTAACAAACATTACAAGGAATCTTATTGACAAAGAATATGTAAAGGTATAGACTGATGAATTATATAATTTTTACCACCAATATAATATTGTAAATTTTCTGGATCTCCGATTGGTCGAGGCCATCGTAAAATTTAAAGTCTGGTTGATCATACAAATGTTGAAAGTCATTGTTTGTTAGGCAAATGATGCTTATCTACAGATGGCTATTGGCAATGCTCCATGGCCAATCGGTGTCACCATGGTTGGTATTCATGCACGTACAGGAAGAGAAAAAATCTTTGCCCAAAATGTAGCACGTATCCTTTGAAAATCATGTCCATGTAGTGCAATTATATAATTAATCCTTTTATGAGRAAACAGGAAATGACTGCTAACTACAGTGCAGATTGTATTCCATAACATTACCACGTTTTTGATGTCTCAGATGAGGATTAGAGGGCCAATTTTTTTTAGTTGCATCAAAGCTAATTCCTGAATATGTTCTAGTTGACAATAGACTCTCTTGATCAAAGATGTTTTCAAAATCAAAAAAAAGGTGTAAAAATACCTCAAGCTTTGAATTTTCTCAATTTAAGCCTAGTGTTCCTAAGAGACTGAACCATCAGAGTGTAAAACATGACTTACTTAATCTTCTTTTTTTTTGTCTGTGGCCTCCTGTCAGATTATGTGGTAGTTTCCTTGACCATTTGGCTTAGATGTACTCAATGATGAAACACAGAGGAAATACATCCAAGGCTTGAAGCGACTTATGACATTTTGTCAGAAGAAATTTCCAGCAGATCCTTCAAAATCTGTTGAGTATCATGGGGTTGTCTGACGTATAGCTGCTTTTACACAAACTGTGTTGTACRTGACAATAGATCTACTTTATTGTGGCAAAATGTTTTAAATTAACAAGAGCATCCAATACATTCAAAACAACTATATTAATTATAAAATGAAAGGTATAATTATATTGGTCAAAAAACAACTGGAGTGCAGAGATCCGGAGACTACTTTAAAATAGTACCCCCACCACACACCATTTTTATTAAAATGTAATTACATTGCTTAAATATATTTTTACAACCATCAAAGGTACTGAATTTAATTCAAGTTTCAGAAATTGCTCTCATTTTTGCATTTATCTATAGACTGATTGAGGTCTTTGTAAAGAGCAAAACAAAATAAATAATTTAGTASGTTTTTTATCTAATTGAACATGTTCTGAAATTAATTTTTGACTGTGGAAGCATCCAAAGGCATATAATATGATTAACTCTGGTGTATATATTAGCTGTAGTGTAAATTATKTGCATCCTATCTGTATGTTATCTTTAAATGAGAAACAACCATTTTATGATCAGATGGAAACATTTCCTCGGGAATTCGTCCAATTACAGTGTCCAATGTATCAGAAAAGTTTAGTATTGTTATTAAATAGATTATAAATACTGTTAATACAAGGAACATAAAAAGAGTTTTGTTTGTCATTATGAATATTATCCTCTGGCTATGCCGGCGTCCTCTTGGTGAAATTAATCGCAATGTCACTTTCAATATAATATAGACAATTAGCACGCMATAGATCCCAGCACATAATGCTAGAAYCAGAAATGAATTGTAATGTGCTGGACTGCACTCGTAGCAAAACTGTAGATCACAATTATTGTCAGCACCTCCCTGGACACAGACACCACAGCGGCATGACCCATGGGGTCCACAGTCTTGGTGGCATGTGTAAGTTATACCCCCCTCTAGTGACTTGTTGGCAAAACTCATGACAGTGTGAAGCCTGTGCCAAATGTTGAGTAAGCTGTAGTAGTAGCTGTCTTTGTAGCCTGTGCCACTAAGTAACTGGGTTTCCATTACAGTAAGGCCAGTAGTAGACACTAGGATCCTATCAGGTCTGTTTATAAGACCTGGTTGTGGCTGCAACGAAATAAGAATAATCAATACTATAGAACAACAAAAAGTCCCCGTTAAATCACGAAATGGTCAATATCAATGAACCAAAGAAAGCACAGTCAAAAAGGTTTGTTGAGAATTAGAAATTATCGAGAACTCAATTCTGAACAATGAGTCAGACTTATGCTTTAATTATAACCACTTCACACCAAAGTTTGCAATTTCCTGTCTTGGTGAAGTGTTGAGTAGAGCCACTTGTATGAGAAAGCTTTTGCAAGACATATAYTCCTTCAGTTGCAGTGCTCCAGCATTCTCTCAACTTGTTTCTTATTTGGTCTCTCACTTCTTCCCTAAGCCCAGAAAATCATGGAATTTTGTCTAGGATCATGGAAAGTCATTGAAAATTTTCTTGTTTGCCATCGATCTTATAATTATGAGTACTATTTCCTGATTAGATTTAAAACAAATGCAATATACATGTATGTAATGAAACAGCTGCTAGGTAGTATTTGTAAGTGCTGATCATTGAATGCTGCCAAATTGTAACCTTTGTCACATACATACATGAAATGCTAACTGCCCTGTATTTATGAAGCAGCCATTTCTACATTTTGGTTATTGAAAAGATAAAAAAGTGATGGAAAAAGCCCACTTTCATATTCTGGTTGAATGGGTAAAAACAAAGCAAACCATTTTTCCTTTTAGCCTCTTCTTCATAATTATAATTTTGTGTGTGGTCAGTAAAACAAAGTGTTAATGGTTATTTAATTTTACACTTGGCTCATATGTAATTGTCACCTCATTCACAAGAGTTTTCCATGATCTATGGTAATCCAWGAACCAAAAATTGTACAAATAAATAGGGTCTAATGAAATTCCTTTGTTTTCTGTAATTATCTTCATCAAACTATTTACAGTAGCCTCCTTCGCAGGCAACTCTACTCCGTGGGATTCCTGTGTTTAGGCAAAAAAGCTGCCGGAGGGGGAGTGGTTAGGAAGGAAGGAAAGGGAGGAGGAGTTAATTCCTAAGGGGTGACCTACGTAGCACGCAATTGATGTAATGTATTCATAAAATGTATTGTATTCCATTGTTTCTCGTTCTATTGTATTATGTGTTTTGTATTATATCTTTATGAATATATTACATCAACTGAGTGCTACGTAGATTCTCCCTAATTCCTAATCTCTCGACACCAGTTCTTCTCGGTCAAGAATATGAACACWGGAAGACCGAGAAGAGAAAAATGTCTGTTTCCGATGGAGTAGCCTGCGAAGGAGGCTATATTTACAGTTAGTAGTAATTAATGGATTTTTAAGTGGGTCCACTTTAATAATATTGGCAATACAGTAGTCATGTAATTACTTTCTCACCATGTTACTAAATGTATAACCATTGTCATTAGACCTCTTCCATGCATCCACATATCCATAGCCACGYCCAGAATCCTGGGGATCAAAAAATTTATCAGGTACACAGCCACCATTTTGTGGAAAACCACCCTTCAATATGGCTGCCACTGGCCAAGGAAAATCCTCATATGAATTGAAATCTCCAAGGATGACTGAGCGTTCACTACCCACAGATGCTAAATAATTAATAACATCAACAGCATTTTGACATTGTTGCTGACGATTGTAAGACAAATGAACCAAAGTGAAATCAATTTCATCTCCATTAGCATCCACTTGCAAGTGTACAATGATGCGCTTATTAGAATCAGGATTATTAGCCTTTGATTTAAGATTGACAGCATGGCTAAGCATTATTGGATGTTTGCTCAAAATTCCCAGTCCTTCTCTTTCCCATCCAGGGGGGCCAAGCTTTACAGTAGTMACAGGGTGATAACTGGCATGTTTGTAAGTATTTCCAAGCAATGACTGTARCTCGCTTAGCTGATTTCTTGATCCAGAAAGGTCTGAACGCACTTCTTGGAAGCCTATTAAATCAGGATTGGCTTGCTTGATCTGAAAAAAGACGAAAAAGGGATATTTAGTACACCTAAAAAAATAATGGACAATTAACATCTTAGTTCATAGTTTTTACCCATTTTGTCACATTAAAAGAGAAGGACACACATCAAACAATAAATTGCACCTTAATT